CTTCCATACGCACATTCTGTGCAATTCTTACAGTACTTAACATAGTTTTCCTAGTAGTTAAAGTCTATTAACAATATGTAAGATTCAGAAATCAAGAAACAGCAAGGTTAAGTATGTTGTTGTTGTTAAGTAACGTTGAGTCGGACCCGACTCATAGTGACCCCTCCTTGGGTTTCCGAGGCAGTATCACTACGGAAGTAGATTGCCCCATCTTTCTTCCGAGGAGTGGCTGGTGGGTTTGAACCACCAGCCTTCTGGTTAGCAGTCAAGTGCCTTAGGCACTATGCTACCAGAGCTCCCTTAGAAATAAGAAGATAAGATCAATAGCAAAAAGTTAAAGGAGTTGCCTTTGGGGACTAGGAACTAATATAAGAATGGGTGAATGCACCAGACTATTGTGTGTCATTCAAATCTTTTAGCACTATTTTGACTTTAAAAATCACATACATGGATTACTTTGATAGAAATAAAAAAGAAAAGTGAACAAAGATCTATCAACCCATTAAAAAAAAAAACATTAGGCACTTACTTAGACATTTGCTTCCAAATGAGTGAACACACACAAAAGAGAACTACCTGACCCTTGTACCAGTTTTACCCATGAGAGTAACATATGTTGAGTAACTATGCAGTAAAATTCTTGTAAGAATAACAAGTTCTAATCAACTGACCTAAGAGGAAGTCATTTTTGGTCTTTTGCCTCGTCTGTCTTATGACAGTTTACTATACTAGCATTATTATGGTATTATGTATTATTTTTGGGGTGGGGGAGATCATGTTAATGTTTTCTTTAAAAAAAAAAAAACAAGCAAACCTGCAATATCTGGGGATAGGGCACTAAGAAGAAGAAGAGAAAAAAAAAAAAAAAAAAAAAAAGGTTAAGGAAGGACTTCCAGTAAGATAGTGGAATAGGCAGATAAACTCCACAGACCCCCTCAACAAAGAAAAGAGAAACCAAATAACAGAGAAACAGAAGATAATCCTGGAGCTCTGAACTTTGAAAGGAAGTATATAGAAGTGGATTCAGCACCAACTAATGGAAAAACTTCAATGAAAACAGTGAGTATGGAGATGGTCAGAACAGTCGTCTGTCAGCTACTCTGATGGGATGAACAGCCTGAATATTTCCAAGTGGTGCTGGGACCTGAGAATTGACCTAAAGATCAGCCCTAGTTGCCAAGGGCTGCAGGGACAACAGTGCTGGTGGCCTATGACTAGGAAAATAAATAGCAAGGAGGGAGACAGCCTGAGCTGTGGACTTTCAGCTGTCCAGAAGGTGCAGCCATTTTGACTGTTTACATGCGATGGCCATTTTGAATATTTAAAGTGACCAAGGGCACAGCCATTTTGAAGGTTTACAAGTGACAGCTGTTTTTGATATTTTAAGTGACTGACAGCACAGCCATTTGGAATGTTTATAAGTGATGGCCATTTTGGATATTTAAAGTGACTGAAGGAACAGCCATTTTTAATGTTTACAAGCAGCGGCCATTTTGGATTTTAAAGTGACAGCATTCTCATTCGGATTCTAGGGACCTAAGAATAGGCTGTTTGCCAAGGATGGCAGGGATATACGGGAGGCAAACAACGGGAAAGGAGACAGGTGGTGAGTGTATAAGTACTGCCAACTAGTGAATAGAGGAAAACAGCACAGTACCCTGCTTACGCAGATAACGTACGAACAAAACAAAGACAACGAATATCGTGGGCAAGTCACTCCCACTTGTTAAATATAAACACAGAAACGTCACAATGCCTCAGAGACAACAGAGCAGCACAGGCCACACAAAGAAGCAAGATAAAGCAGGAGAAACAAGGGACCAGGATATAGACCCAAAACACATCCCTGAGGAAGACTCAGCATTGGAACTCTCCGATAAGGAATTCAAAAGAATTGTATTTAGGTACCTTCAACAGATTTGCGAGACAGAGCAAGGAAAACACCGACAAAATTGAGGAAAACACAGAAAAAACCCTAGAACAATTTCAAAAGAAAATACAAGAATAAAATGACAAAATAAACGAAAAATTAGAAATGATACAAAATCTACAGACAGAAATCCAGGAGATTAATACTAAATTTACAGAAATAGGTAACTCATTAAATGGACAAAGGAGCAGAATTGAATCAATGGAAGACGGAATTACTGAGATTGAAGGCAAATACCTCAATACTTCTTTGGAAAGAGAACAATCAGAAAAAAAATCAAAACAAAATGAAGAAAGCCTAAGGTTCATGTGGGATACCATCAAAAGAATAACCTATGTGTAATCGGAATTCTAGAACAAGAAGAGACAGATAAAACCACAGAAGAAACTGTCAAAGATTTGTTGGAAGAGAATTTTCTTGGTATGATGAAAGATGAGAATATATCCATTCAAGAATTACAACGAACCCCAAACAGAATAGACCCTGTGATAGTTGGAGCTGTGTGTCAACTTGGCTAGACCACAATTCTTATGTGGTTTAAGCTGTTGTGATGTGGTTATTCCCATGATGGGATCAGATGCTTATGTTCTGAGCAGGCAATATGTTGAAAGGGAGTTTCCCTAGGGCTGTGGCTTGTTTCCAGTATATCCACAGACATCCTGGGAAAAGAGACATTCTCTGTGAATCAGGATTCTGTTGTACTGCCTACAACAGTCCGTGAGCGAACAATCCACTATTCGGCCTGGAGATCTTGGATTCATCATTCGTTGGAGTCAACAGCTGGTGTACTGCCTGCCAGCCTTGAGCTCCTCAGCCCCTGTGGTTGCAAGAGCTGGGAAAAGCCTCCAGCTTGACATGGAAAAGCCTCCAGCTTGACGTTTGATCCAGGAACTTTGGACATGCCAGCTTCTGTAAGTGTGTGAGTCATTTTCCTAAGATAAATTTTTTTTTCTCTCTCTCTCTCTCTCTCTATAGCTTTACTGGTTTTTGTTTTTCTAGAGAACCCAGTCTAACACAGACCCCAAAAGAAAATCACCAAGACATATCATCATCAAACTCACCAAAACCAAAGACAAAGAAAGAATCCTGAAAGCGGCATGGGAAAAACAAAAAGTTACCCACAAGAGGCAACCAATATGAATAAGCTTGGATTTCTCAGCAGAAACAACGCAGGCCAGAAAACAATGGGATGGCATATATAAAACCCTGAAAGAGAAAAATTTCCAACCAAGAATTATATACTCTGCAAAATTGTCCTTCAAATATGATGGTGAAATTAGGACATTTCTAGATAACTAGAAATTAAGGGAATTTGTTAAAACCAGACCAACCTTACAAGAGATGCTAAAGGGAGTCCTTTGGACAGAGAACCAACAACAGCAAACAACTGACCATTAACACACATGATGACATAACCCAGAAACCAACCCAGTTATAGAAGTATCCAAAGTAAATTAAACGTACAAGATTGTAAACAGGGAAGCAGAGATATCAATGGACAAATGAAGACAATTATAAAGCAAAAAGAGGGAACAAAACTGAGTAGTCACAGAACTTCTAAATGGTAGGGAAGTCAAGACAACTACAAAATAGAATGGACTGTTTTAAACTTGGGAAGAAATTATAACTCAAAAGGTAACTTCCAAAAAAAAAAAGATAAACCTTCACATGAAAATAAAAAAGAGGACGCGCTCTGGTAGTATAGTGCCTAAGGCACTTGACTGCTAACCAGAAGGCTGGCGGTTCAAGCCCAACAGCCACTCCTCGGAAGGAAGGTTGAGCAATCTACTTCCGTAGTGATACCGCCTCGGAAACCCAAGGAGGAGTCACTATGAGTCGGGGGTGACTAAGTGGCACTTAACAACAACAACATAACAAGCACAAATATTTAGCAAATACTGAAACAATAGCAATGAAGGAAGTGATAACATGATTTCTAACAAAACGAGCTCAGCTCAGAAAATTATATGGAACAAAGAAATCAACACCATGAAAAAGCACATAACAAAATGACAGCAACAAATTCGTATTTGTTGATAATTATATATCTGACAAGGAACTTATCTCTAAAATTTTTTTAGAAAACTCCAACACCTCAACAACAAAAACATTAACAATCCAATTAAAAAATGGGCAGAAGACATGAATGGATACTTCACCAAAGAGGATATTCTGGCGGCCAGCGAATACATGAAGAACTGCTCATGATCATTAGCCATCAGAGAAATGCAAATCGAAACAATAAAGAGATACCATCTCACCTCAGCACTAATGGCAAAGTTCAACAAGACAGAAAATGGTGGATGCTGATGACGATGTGGAGAGATTGGGACTTTCATACACTGCTGGTGGGAGTGTAAAATGATATAACCACTGTGGAAAACAGTATGGCGATTCCTTAAAAAGCTGGAATTAGAAATACCATTTGACCCATCAATCCCATTACTAGGTGTATTTCCTAAAGAAGTGAGAACCAGGACAAGAACAGGTATATGCACACCCATGTTGATCACAGCACTATGTACAATAGCAAAAAGATGGAAACAACCTAGATGCCCATCAACAGAAGAATGAATAACCAAACTATGGTACATACACACAATAGAATACTATGCAACACTAAAGAATAATGTAGAATCTGCAAAACACCACATAACATGGATGAACTTGGAGGACATTATGCTGAGTGAAGTAAGTAAATCTCAGATGGACAAATACAGTATTAGTTCATTATTGTAAAAAGTCAAGGAAAGGTTTATATATGGAAGGGAACTTTCTTTGTTGGTTACTTGGGGGGGGAGGGAAGAGGAGGAAAGACTGCAAAAAAAAAAAAGGCATTGACCCATGTCACTTTAGTTTTCTGTATTTCACTCTATATTAATTATATTTCAATAAAATTCATTAAAAAAAAAGATCAGAAAAAAATCTTACATCTTTTTAATATCACAAAACCACCACTTTGTTTCAGAGACCATGAGATATACTGTACCTACAAAGTTTCCTTTGAGAACAATGGATAAAAGTATATGTGAAGTATATTAAAGAGAGCTATACATTCAACAGTACTTACTTGTACATTTATACAACATGCCTGTCATAGTTCCAGCTGCTATCGTGTTGAGGTCATCTTCTGCACCTCGTGTTTTCTCAATGATGACACCAAATGCACTATAAAGCAAAGCTATTAGGGAAATCAAACTGATCAGTAATGACACAATGATTAAAAGTCAGTATGGCAATTATATTTTGATTAGTTTCTCCTAGAGATATTAATTTTTAACTATTCAAAGATATATAAGTAATGACCACTGGAAAACTGTAATAGAAAATAACTGGCAATAAATAAAATGTCCATCAAAAAGAAACTGATTCAGAAAGGGACTTTCCACATAACGGAGAACTATATACTCACTTAAAAACCCAAACATGAAGAGCTATATTCATTATAGAAAGTACTTATACATGTGTGCTTGGGTACATGCATGACTCTGGCTAAGCAAAAAAAAAAAAAAAGTCCAGAATTACTAAGGAACATTAACAGTTATTTCTGGGAAGTACCACTGGGGAGTTCCAGGAAAGATATTTTCAATTTTCACTTATATTTTACCTAAAATAGCTGTACTTATTATAAATTATAAATGATTTTTAAAAATGTGAGTTTTGGTTCTTAAATATTGAAAAATTATAACACAAGCACTATTTAGTTTTAACAAGTTTGTCCCCCAAACCACCCTTTCCCTGCATCTCTAAAGATTACTATCAGCGACGAACACATTAAACCTTTCCCTCAAAATTATCTGAGGAGCATTTGACCCTCTCATAAATTATACCAAGGTCAGCCTTACGACTCCTCTGTTGTGACATTTTTGTATTTCTATAAACGCTCACCTTCTTCTTTCAACTTACTTAACTGATATTTACTATGAGCAGAATGTTGTGATTGATCATACATACTATAAGGAGAACACATAGGGTAACCAGCCATCCTGCTTTGCCCAGGGCTAAGGGATTTCCTGGGATGCTGAACATTTAGTGCTAAAACTGGGAAAGTTTCAGGCACACCAAGATGGTTGATTAGGTATAAAAACAATTAAAAAGGAACAAAGCTGGATGTGACTGTGTATGGGGGTGAAGCGAATGCAGGTGTAAGCAGCATATGGAACTAGCCATCCATCTACTGGGAGCTCTAGCAGTTTGGTGCTAAGGCATTTGACTGCTAACCAGAAGGCTGGCAGTTCAAACCCGCTAGACACTCCTCGGAAGGAAGGTTGGGCAATGCAAATATGGCTTTATGATGTGAAAATGCATTGCTTCTAAATCCTGTGACAAGGCTAGATAGAATATTACACAATCACTACAGAGGTTCTTACAACCTTTTCAAAAAGATGTCTACAACCTTTTCAAAAAGATGTCTAAGTGTCCCCTTACTTAATAATCTGTTACAATTAAAAGACTTTTAGACTTTTGACTAAGTTCACAAAGAACACTTGGCTAATAGGAGCTAAGAGCCACATGTTGGTCTATTATGAGTCATTAGTAATCAAGAGAGCCAATTACTCGTAAGACACAACACGGATGAAACCATTAGGTTCTGGTTTATGCACTAAGTACAACTAATTAACTCTCTGCTAGGACTGCAAATGTTTTTATTACCTACAAAGGACTTGTTTTAACCTGGCAATTATGTCCAGGAAATATTTCAATAAACAGACTGATGAACAGGCTATTAGGATAACATAGCAAGAGATTAATCAGGTATGTCTCGTAACAGGACCTTGAACCTTTCCTAGCACACAAAGCCCTTTGCCTTGCCCTAAATTATCTGGCTTTCGTTTAGAGAAAACATGATCTTATTTTATTATTCTGTGTTGGACAGAACAGTATATAGTGCTTTAAAAGGAATAGTATCCAGTATGGTGTCAGCAATATTGTATGTGACAGTTCTATTCTGTCCTACAGGGTTGCTATAAATTGGAGGAACTGACTTGATGACAATGACTTTGGTTTATGGCATCAGCAGAAAGGAGCCCTGGTTGCTCACAGTGGTTAAGTGCTTGGCTGTAACCATAAGGTCAGTAGTTTAAATTCACTAGCTGCTCCATGGGAGAAAGATGTGGCAGTCTGCTTCCATAAAGATTTACAGCCTTGGAAATCCTACAAGGGCAGGTCTACATGGTCCTTGTGAGTTGGGATTGATGCAATAGCAGTAGGTTTTTTTTTGGTCTTTGATGTGTTATCAGAACCTGGAATTATTTCATGTGTACTTCATGGTTGCAGTGTAGTGAATTACATGGTACGGCTTTTCTAGCCATAGTCTTTGTAACTCCCACTGGATTACTAGGTGGGACCATGAAAATATTTGTTACTCCCTATAAGGAGACTGGCAATTAACTCAGGGGTGAAATTTGCTATGAGCAACTGAGTAGCTGCTTTTAAACTCCTGATTGTTAAAGTCATCCATGTGGGGTATTTCTGTTGGAGCAGCAGGAAGTAATCTTCTGGGAAAGTTTGCTCTCTCTCAGGTGAATAGAACTCTGATGTTGGGATTGATCAGTTCTGCCACTCTGCCAGGCTTAAAATGAGCTCTCATAGAGGCAAAAGGGGATCTCACTGCCAGCTGAGAGACAGTGGCAGTGGAAGCAAGATGCACAAGACAGAGCAGCAGGTTTTAATTGAAGAACTGTATCCTGAGCATGTTCCTGAACTTGAATTGCAGCCTACTGCTTCCTAATAAGCCCCATAATCTGTGAGTTGTGTGTGGCCACTGCAGTGAATTATCGAACCCAGCAGAAAGGTGATGGGTGCCCTGTGGGAGGGATGGCTGGTGTCAAGAGTGCTAAGAGGACTGGAGGGTGGTGGCATCTCTGGCTTCATGGGAACAGGCCTTGGGCTGCTGATGGTCATTCTGTTTTCCTCTTGTGAAGTTAGAAGAGGTCAGAAGATGCTGCCTCCATGCCCTCCATACCCCTTTAGCAATGGTCTTTTCCTAAGTAGCATCTGCACTAGTCACTGGAGTGGACTGAAACACAATTTTCTCATATTCTAAGACCATAATTTTGATTGTTTAAATTGTTCATGACACTTACACATTCCTTCCTTGTATTGACCATTTATTAACAAGCAATTATCTCTACTTACCAAGAGAACCTAGAGTATTAGCCCAAAGTGCACCTTGCCTGGTCACCATATTCAGAATCCTACCAGGACAGAAAAAGAAGAACCTATATTTAGAATGATTATTTCCCTCAAATTTTTTTTAAACCATACTAGTAGCTATTTTAAATACATAAACCCAAGCTCCAAAGTTTTCTTAATTTTTAGTTTATCTTAAAAACTTCCTCAGAATTCAATAAATATGGCTTTTATACTCCATATAAATGAAGGTTAGCTTAAAATTGCCAATATTTTGTATAATAACTGAGGAAAATTCTTATTAAATACAGTAAAACCTGCAAAATCCAGAACTTATATAAGGTGGGTACCTGTCAGAGAAAGAAAAAGTAGTAAGACTACATACATCCTGTCAAAGACGAAAAACTTGTGAGACCTGGAAAAACAAGGCAGTCCCATCAAATTCTGACTCTCCCAGGTTTCACTTGGTATTAAGATTCTTTAAGCCTTAACTACTATGGCTGTGAATGTAAAGAAATTCACAGAAATTGATCTGTGGAAAAGTACCATTTTAACTGTAACAAACCAACTTGATATTCTTTTTGGGAGGGGAGTATAAAGTAAACAGTATATAAAGTAGAATCAATTGTTTAGAATACGAAAGCAGACTATGGAGAGAATCAAAGGTAAGTAGTCAAACAAGGTAAAAAGCCATCTAATTACTATATACAAATAAAACACAATCTGTGTCTGCTCCCAGACTAGAACTAAGCAGTGAAGGTGAATGCTTAGCATACTCTCAAGGAAGCACAGTTCTGCCTTGTACCAGTGCCAAATGCCACCAGAACAGTGACAAAGGCAACCAGATGAAGAAGACAAGACATTGCTCTCCCAGCAGTGTAACACCATCAAAGGAATGGGTATGCCCAGACAGCTGACTACCGCTGGAAATTACGGAATTATGGTAACAAACAGTAAAATAAAACCTTCATAATTTATATGACACTCTATCATAATAGAAATTCGTATTTGTTTAAAAAGTACATTGAAAAGCATAGTTTCTAATATTACATATTTATTAATATATTTTATTTTCAACACACTGTTTTTTCTTTTGTAACCTGTTTTAAAATTCTTAATTTCCATTAAAGTATTGCTGATGGCACTGCAAACTGGTAAAATTCTTTGGAATGCAATTTGGCAAGGTAGCTCCATTTACTGATCCCTTATCTACTTCTCATTTTATATCATTTCTAAATAATCCTTGAAGGTACAAATTAGGGAAATCTTGACCAATATCACAAAACAGTAAGTAATGAAGCTAGGATTCAAAGTATAAACTCTTATCTTTCCACTATTATATGCTATCTCCCTAACTAAGAAGACTAGAATTATTATAATGATAGTATATAAGATTTAGAAAATTTGATTTTAAAAAAGGAAGCTGATTCACTTCTCTCCAAAGATGTTAACAATTATTATTAAGAAACAAAACAGTCTAGTTTTTCTAGATCTTCTATTTTAAATTTATGTTTAATAATTTAAATGAAGATCTGTTTCGAAATAATGTGGAAGAGTAGTACTAGATGGGCCACAATGGTTGTCAAGGATGGGTTGTGTCATAGGAGTTCATTTAACTATTCTGCCTACTTTAGTATAGACTGAAAATTCTCTATAAGAAGTGAAAAAAAAAATTAGTAAGAGACAAGAAATATTAAGAGTATAAATATAAAAATATCTAAGGATTTGTGCTGGTCAAGCAAGAGTATGGATCCTTCTAAAGACTTGATGGGACTTCAGGGTCCCCATGTCTAATTGTAGCATATCTACTGCCATCTGCTGGCTAAACAATGTGGAAGGAAGATAGCCTTTTAAAAAATGACTCAAAACAAAACCATAGGCCATTGAAGAAAACATATTACATGATTCCACTTACATAAAGTACATAAATGAACAAAGCTAAAAAACATGTTGCTTAGGAAATATCAATAGCAACTGGTTATGTTTTATTTCTTAAGCAAGGTGAGTATGTACATTATGTGTACTTTCCAATCCTTTTATAATTGTAAACTTTCCTTTCTATGCAAACTTCAATTTCCTGAGAAAAGATTGTCTTACCTTTTGGAACCACCTCTAAGTTCTAGGAGTTTCATTTAATTGTTCTATAGTAGTGACTGCTAACCAGAAGGCTGGCGGTTCAAACCCACCAGCCACTCCTTGGAAAGAAGATGGGGCAATCTACTTCCAGAGTGATACTGCCTCAGAAACCCAAGGAGGAGTCACTATGAGTCAAGTCTGACTCGATGACACATAACAACAACATAGTTCTCCATTTTAGAAATGGTGAACGAAGTCAAGAAAAAAAGTCAAATGATAGCAGATCTAGCAATCACTCGTACATACTTATTTCTTTACTACTATACCCTACATGTCCTCCTGAACAATGCAAATATATTAAGCAGGAAGAAATAACTTGCATTCCACAGTAACTATTTACTGAATACCATCTTATATAGGTAAGAGCCACTGTTCATTTAAAAAAAAAAAAAGAGCAAATATATTAAGAATTAAACAATTTGGAAAACATGCCATGTAGGCCTGGAAAATGGAACAGGTGTTGCTGAGTTAAGAAATTAGGTTGGGGTAGCACTAGCTTATTGAGGGGCACTGAGGGACTTGGAGGGACTCAGAAACTTGCTCCTTTTAAAAGCTTAGATTCAGTAACCTGCTCCTTTTATTTTAAATAAGATTTTAAAAATTAAGAAAAAAATAGACAAAAAAGTAAACCATCATGCTAAACATCTGTAATTTCAAGGTTGCACTCATCAAACCAACAAAGCAGATATTAACATTCAAACATCACTACATCAGATGATGACACAAGACTTACTGTACATTTCTTGGTTTGGACCAGGCCATGTTTTGGGTTTCCTTCAATCCTAGCCGTAGACCATTCATTGCCCCAAATGCAGCACCTAGTAAATCATTAACAACATTCATCCAAATGTATAATCTTATACTCACAAACAACTGCACTTTTTTCATTTTTACTTAATAGAAAAGGATAAACTTAATGATTTTAAAACTTTCAAACTGATATATATTTGTTCTTTTTAAAACTTTAAGCACCTTCAACTACTTAGATTAGGAGCAATTAGAAAATAAAATTACGGAGCCCACCTGTCATGCAACATCCTCCTATGGTAAAGAAGGCCAGTTCAAACCTGCCCCGGGTTTTATTAGCGCCAGTCGGTAAAATAAATTCATCTGTATCCTGAAGGGGTAATAAGGTAAACTGAGTTGAGCTTCCCTCAAGATACAATAGTTGCAAAGCGGTTTTTAATTTACAAAATAGTTTTTTTTACAGTAGGTAAACCTTAAATTAAACTCCAATTATCCAAACAAAAGTAACTTTCTGCAATAATAGCAATACTAAAGTCAAAGTGAAATGAAATACACCTTTATAGCTGTGCCCTTCACTTCTTAGGAGGATTCTTATTCTAAACCATTTCCTTCTCAATATAAGTCCAATAGAGTATTATGTAACTTGTCCTAATGATAAATTTAAAGCACTAGAGGAAGAGAAAAGGACAGCTCTAGAGAAAGGTATACTGAAAGCTATGAGAAGAACAGTCTAGAAGGAGAAAAATAACTTGCATTCCACAGTAACTACGTACTGAGTCCGATCTTACTATGTGTAAGGGTCACTATTCATTAAAAAAATTGAGCAAACACTATAAAAGCCAAAAAGTTTTAATCACTTATATTGGGGTAAATGACCTTCTTAATAGTTCTAAACTGTCTCAGGGAGAGAGGCATATAATCTTTTGAGAACCTTAGAAAGCTATAGATCTTCTTTCTAATAAATGCATAAACTAAATGTGTCATGAAGCCCTTGAAGATTACCACACAGCCAAAGAACTCAGGCTAATTCCAAGCTTGCTGGAGCTAATCTTCACAGCACAATGGTCATATTAAAAATGTGATTTCTTATAGAATGGCAAATATTGTATTAGTCTGTTACTGTAAAAAGTCAAAGTTTATATATGGAAGGAAATTTTGCTGGTTACCAGGAATGGGAGGGGAAGGGAGGGAACACTGCTAGATAAGCAGAGACAAGTACTGATTTGGGTGAAGGGAAGGGCAAAGTTCCAAATATGAGTGATTAACACGGGGGCAACGAAGAAGAGGAAGAGGGAGGAAAGTGCATGGGAAGTACAGACAACAAAGATGAACCCTTTTGCACAGACAGTACTGCATTGTCAGTGACAGCAAACATTGATACACGGGTGGATAGATGGGTGAACAGGCTGAGCTATTAGGTATGTCAATCAATGCAGGGGGAAGTGTGCCTATGACCATGTACAGAGTTGGCAGACAATGTTTCTACAAGTGTGTTTGTTATGTCTGTAAGAAATTTCCAGGTATATAGTAGAGCTGACAAGGGACAAGGTTGTAGTCACTTCTTAGCCACAGCCAGCTACCTAGAGGGAACGAGTAGTTGGACCTGTGGGCTCCAGACCATGGTTGCAGGGAACAAGCTCAACTGGCATAAGATACTACACAAAAACATTGTTCCCCATCCTACTCTGGTGAGTAGTAACTGGGGTCTTAAAAGCTTGCAAGCACCCATCTAGATGCAATGATGGGTCTCTCCTTATCTAGAGCAAAAGAAGAATGAAGAAAACCAAAGATGCATGTTAATAATTAGTCCAAGGAACTGATATACCATGTGATCCTCAGCCTATAAGATTATGAGATGAGAAGAACTAGACGGTGCCTGGCTACCACTGTCAACCACTCGGAAGGGGTCTATGTACAAGATCCTGGATAGAGTGGGTAACAACGTGGAACAAAACTCAGAATCACACACACACACACACAAAAAGGGACCAGGTTTGTTGGTCTGATAGAGCCTGGTGGAACCCCTGAGACTATGGCCTCTAGCTGCCCTTCAGGTCTGGAATTAAACCCACTCCTGTGGCTTCCAACCAAACAAAAGAAAGGCATATGAGCTGAACATTTACATTAGGTAGATACATTCCTTGGAGAGATACATCATGGGAGAATAGAAGGGCTGTATATGCACAGGGAGAGAGCTCGGAGGGCAGGAGTGCACAGGAGGGAAGGACACAGGAAAGAGGTGGCTATGGGGAGGAATTACAAGGAGAGCTGTTCTATCGTGGGAGACTGCAGTCAATGTCATGAAACAAAGTGTATGTGAACTGCTGTACGGAAGACTATTTTCTCTGTAAAATTTCACCCGAATCACGATAAAATTTTTAAAAAATATTTTCATATTGTATAATGAAATGTCAACAGTTAGAAGTTCTGCACAATTCAGTAAACTGCTATTTTTTAAATGACTGATGCATGTTTTGAAATAGTGTATAGGTAAAATATCCTTTCAAAATGCAAGACATACCACTGGATTTTACAACAAAGAAAAAGTTATTGATATAGTTAGAGATTCTACATTGCAACTAACCTTTAAGAAAATATCACTTGTTAAGTTTTAAGGTAGTATCATAGAATATCAACAATTATTTCCAAAAGCTAATAAAACATTCCTTTCTTTCCCAACTATGTATCAGTGTGAAGCTGTATTTTCTTCATATATTTCAACTAAGGAACACTGTAACTTATTGATTACAGAAGCATATATGGAAAAGCAACCGTCTATTAAGCCATTCGTTAAAAAGAACTGCAAAAACTATGAATAATGTCACTCTTCTCAGTAAATATTTTGTTTTTTTTTAGAAATAGTAATTTCTTGCTAAAAATGTCTTTCATATTATCATGTGATGAGTTTACTATTGTTTTAAAATGACTTTAACAAACAAAATTTTCTAAATTAAAAAAAAATGCTATTTAAGAGTATAATATGAAGTCAATACACTTTTATGCAGAACACAATACATTTTTAACAAGCTTTCCAAGCAAAGATTTAAACACATTCTTATGGATAGCACCACACCCCAATCAAAAAATACATAAATGTGCTGAATTTAACACACTAAAGACCGGTACAGAGTAACTTTTCTCTCACATCCCTTTGGCAAATACTGAACTTTGGAAAATGTACTCCCAATTAGGAAACTGCAGTTTGGTGCTGGTTTTTGAATTCTGGCTTCTGCACACAACCTCATCTAAAATCCCTTAACAAACAAGTATATTTACCCTCATTACACTGTTACAGCTGTGGGGCAATAAGGAGCACACTCTGAATACATCTCATGTCAGGATATATGATGCTTCTATATTCATAATTCTAAAATTATGTACATAATTTTGTAAACTTCAGGTCTTTGCTGACTTTAAAATTAATTAAATTGTACTTCTTGGCTGATGCTTTTAGAAATGCTAAATTTCATCAGATTAGGTAAACAACTAACCTTCAGTCAAGAAACCGATCACAGAAACAGGAAGTTGAAAAAAAAAAATCGCTGTGATGAAAATTATCAAGCACATATGCTCATCAGCACCAACCCTCTCTTCAGTTAATGTCAACAATAATTAAAATGCTACATGGCTTGAAGCAAATGTACATCAGTTCACATACAAAGCCAATTGAAAACAACGAGGTTACAGTATTTTTGCATGTAAACACCCACTCATATAATGCATGTAGCATGCACAGGAAACTGAAGTGGAGAGTGTTGCAAGGCTTTAAAAAACTGTGTAAGAGGTGTTCTATTTCCATAAAAATGTGGCACATGTCACTGGGGTTCAATCTTGAAGGCAATAAAAATGTACCAAGTTTCATTCAGGAAAAATATGTAAAGATCCACAGACCCTGACAAATTACATTAATTTTTGGTAGAAAAGAACAAATAAAAGGCTGTTAGCATCTTTCAAAATATGGTTAACAGCTTCCATTATGGAAAAAATTGATGTAAGCCAAATAAAAAACAGCAAGAAACATGCACCTAACAGGCAGATAACAAAGTACGTTAATACACTACATGCAGGGAAGAAACATCAAAAAGTCCACACTAAACTTGTGCTACTGGCACTATAAGCAGTAAAATCCAAAACCAGACGCATTGCCCTGAAGTTGGATCTGACTCACAGCGACCCCTCCCTCCTTGGGTTTCTGAGGTAGTATTACTGCAGAAGTAGATTGCCCAATCTTCTTTCTAAGGAGTGGCTGGTGGGTTTGAACCCCCAGTCTTCTGTTAGCAGTCAAATGCCTTAGGCACTATGCCAAAATAATCACGGTTTAAACTGGGAAGATTCTAATCACCAACTCACTTTATTTGGGGGGAAAAAACTGTTTCAACTCAGCAACAAAAGTACATGACAATTTAAATATGACAAAGGATCTGAACTGACATTTCTCCAAGGTATAAAAATGGCCAATTAAGCATATGAAAATGCTCAACATCACTGCTGCTGTTGTTACGTGCTGTGCTGTCAAGTTGTCTCTGACTTATAGCCATTCCTCCTTGGGTTTCCAAGACAGTAGCACTATGGAAGTAGATTGCCCAGTCTTCCTTCCAAGGAGTGGCTGGTGGGTTTGAACCTCCAACCCTCTGGTTAGCAGTCCAGCATCTTAGGCACTAAGCCATCAGAGCTCCCTCACTAGCACAATGCAAATACTTTAACTCCTAATTAGGAATGTAGTGCTGTTGTTGTTAGGTGCCGTCCAGTTGGCTCCAACTCATCTGGATCCTATTTACAACAGAATGAAATGCTGCCTGGTCCTGCACCAGCCTCACAATACTTGCCATACATGAGCCCATCACTGCAGTCACTGTGTCAATCCATCTTGTTGAGGGCCTTCCCCTTTCACAGTGACCCTTCACTTTACCAAGCATGATATCCTTCTCCAGGGAATGGTTCCTTCTGAAAACATAACCAATGCAGGTGAGATACAGTCTGGTCATTCTCATTTCCAAGAAGCATTCTGGCTGCACTTTTTCCAGGGAAGATTTGTTAGTTCTCTTGGTAGTCCATGGTATTTTCAGTATTCTTCACACCTCAACTCAAAAGAGCATCAACTCTTCTTTGGTCTTCCTTACTCACTGTCTGGCTTTCACACGTATATGCGGCTACTGAAAATACCACGGCTTGGGTTAGGCACTCTTAAGTCTTCAAAGAGACATGTTTGCCCTTCAGCATTTTAAAGAGGTCTTTCGCAGCAGATATGCCCAGCACAATACATCGTCTGATTTCTTGATTGCTGCTTCCCTTGGTGTTGACTATGGAAGCAAGTATATGAAATTTTTGACAACTTACATCTGTCCATTTATTGTGATGCTGCTTATTGGT